ACGACAATCAACCTAAGAGAAAGTGGACTACACCTTCAGTCCAGCGGGTTGTAATAAGAACATATGAGTGGCTCTACCTCCACTGCCAACCAGCTAAATCCCTAAGCTCAAAAGGTTTATTTGACATTTCAATGTTTTGCTTTGTTTTTTAACTGTGTGATTGTTTGGGATTTAACTGTGTGATTTAAATGACTTTTTAACAAAGGGGTTAATGACAGAATGACTGACCGATGTTACGGCTGTGGTGTGTCACATATCACATATCCTGGTTGAGTATGCAGTAGCCTGCCCTAAAGACCAGGGGCTCTTCTGTTTGAAAATTAGATTTAAAATAAGGCCTCTTTTGAACTGTCTACACAGATTAAGCATAAAAGTGTAATACTTGCTTAAAAAATCTTAAAAGGTATGAACACTATTTGTAAACTCAACTTCATCAGTTACTGCCACCATTGGGGAAATAAAGCACAACAGCGGTACATAACCCCACCCCTCAGAAAATGCTGGGTCTCTAGATGGACTAAAGTCCCAGAAAAGTGAAATTTCCCCAAATAAATGTATATAGAAATCCTATCTGGGCTTTCAAAAGCCGAAGTCTTTTGAGTGGTAATGGAAAAAGGGATTTTAACTTCAACAGCTCCTACAGTAAAAGTAACTACTAGTCAATCATAGCAACGCCTCAGTATAAGAATAACTAAATGCTTCATTTGCAAATATGACTAACTGTACTGCTGGAGAAGATGAACATGCCTAATTAGTGCTTTGGACGCCGAGTTTAAAGATAGACCATTATATTGAACAAAGCAAAACTGAAAAACCTGATGGTTTATGGAGAAAGTACAGTATGCCACCTATTCAATGGGAGAACTCATACAAGGCATAAATATTAAAGTTCTTTCTTTAAAGCACACTTTATATCTTTTTTTTCTGTAGTAAGGAAGCTGGGACTAATGAAATACCAGGATAAACCATACCATATGAAAAATCTAATAATTATAATCAAATCAGGTATATTGCCTACTAGATTGTGAACTAGAAATCATTATAATAGATCTCATTAACTTCTGGAAAATACATTTCTAGTTATTATTATTATTTGTTAGTGGGAAGATTAATGTAAGATGAAATTGGGTACAAAATTATCACAAATTTAAACAAATTTTATTTAGAGAGACAACAGCTCCCTTTAGCTTTTTCTCAATCAGCTGCCCTTGGAATGAATATTTAATGTACTGTTGACAAATTGCTTGAAACTCCTCCGGTACAGTGGTAAACCACAATGGAAAAAAAAAAATTAAGAGGTTAACAGAGAGAGACTACAGGGCAGTCAATCACCTTGAGCTCAGGGCAAACTGATAAAAAAATAAATAAATAAAACACCTATACCTAAAATCCATGTTACAATATCTGCATGACACTTGCAATACTGTAAAATATAAATTTTTATTAAAGTAATGTACCTAATCGCAAATGTTTTCAAAACTAAATATTGTTTTATTGTATACTAGGGCTGGGACTTTTATGTGTTGATTTCACTTAATTAATTTCATTGATATAGATTTAATTGATCACATTCTTTTCTATTATTTACAAACTTCACTGTTTCTTGTAGACCCATAAACCTGATGCAAAGCAGCATCACAGTTGTTTGTCCACTGCTTAAAAACCATCTCGGTGATAGAAAAGTTACCCGGTAAATATGGTTCTTTGAATTTCTGAATGAATGCCTCTCACACTCGTCACCTAGAACGCTTCAGTGAGGAGGGGACAAAGCAGAACTCCCCAGCTGTTATTTATAGAGTAGCATTGTCACATTTGTGAATTTGATTACACTACAATCTTGACCTACATGGAGCATAAGTGTAACATTCACTTTGTTTAGTTCCACTGGCAGACAGGAAGGAATAAAACAAAACTGATGTTGTGGCAAACACAGACAATTACAACATTGATGTCAATATCTAGTCCAAAGTTGCAGCCAGTTGAAATTGGACCAGATGTGAGCTTTATAGCCAAAATTACTTAGTCCACGCCTGAAAAAATAAAAAGTACACTGGTTAAATGGTTTACAACATGGATTGTTTTGGTAGCTGGCTTGAAGAGAAGAAGTAGGCTCTCTATTATAAATGTTTTAGTTGTATGAAACATTGCATGTTGAAGATGTTATGTTCTGAAAGGCAATGCAATGATGTTATAGTTCCTTATCGGTTTTATAAATGGAACTTTAACTTCTGTTTACAGCAAAAGTTAAACTCTTAAAGGAAGTCTTTAGTTATAAGTAGTTTTTCACCATATTCAATTGAAAGAATTGTGGTTTAAATAATCGTGTATTGTTCACACTTCTACAGAAGTAATATTTCAAAGAACTTCCATAAAATATCAAGAGATTCTAAAAAAGCTATATGATTATAATTTTTAACTAGTCTGACAGTTGAATAACCTCAATAATTAATAAAAAAAATATGTGTTGCTGTGTCATGTTTTTATGTATTAAATAAATTAAGATAAAAGTGTTTTTCGAATTGAAAAGGTTGTTTATTTGATGGATAAATAGCGTTTTTGATAACGCAATTCATTAATTATAGACCCAGCTAATTGTCTGGCTGTGTGAAGGTTTGTAGAGGGCTCAAATGCAGAGAAGGAAGCTGAGGTGGTATCTCGCAGATTTAATAACAAAGGGTGGCAACAAAAGCGTAAATCTAAAGTGACTAATCAAGAAACACATAAACCAGAACAAAAGGGAACACACAGGTTAAGGAGGGAATGAGGAAAATCCAACAAACTGTAGCTGCAGAGGAGGAGTATACATTGCAAACAGAACAATGAATCGAGTAATCAACCGATTGTGAGCAGGTGTGGACAGAAGGATCAAGAAGGGAGCAAGGGGAAAGGAGACTGGAACAAGGGCGAAGAGAGTAAATAACAAATACAACAGTGTATATAACTGTTTTAACTAATATAAATAGACAAAAACTTGGATGAAACTAAATGGAAATGAAAATGTCTTAGAAAACAGATTGACATAAGTCAAAGTGTAACTGAAAACCCAAAGTAAAATCTTAAACAGAACCAAAAAGTCCAGAAAGGACAGAATCATGACACCAATAACTCAGTTAAATACTTTAACTCAGTCCAACAAGTACTGTACACATATTTATACTTGAACTAATTTAAAACTTGGATAAAATAAGTGTATTATTATACCAATGCATTTCTGCATTTGTATACTTAGCATTGAAATCTATAAATAAAATATGTTTATTTTACTTACCCCATATATTTTAACATATCATTTGGCCAGTGTACAACTAGTAAAACTCACCATCTGCTGGTAATCTTGAAGCATGTTTTAAGGATTCACATAAATCTATGTTGGCACAACTAGAAAATTACATGCATTTCATCTTGTCTTTCTGGTTGAGGTCAACAACATAGAGTAACCCATGTGGCCTAGTAGAAGCGCAAATAAAGTGGATTAGAAGCTCAATTTACTTTTTCCTGTGCATTTAACTCTACATTTTAGTAAAATATCCAAATTGTGAAGGCAATGTTTAGTCATTATTTTGTATGCAAAATATCCAGAGTAGCTTTTAATTTTTTAATTTCTCCTGATTTTCAAAAGCCACAATCGAAAAATAAAGACCAAATTGGCACATTTGATTATCCACTTTAGTCTACACAGAATAACTTGGATGTCTTTAAATGATTAATTGATTATAATTTCCAATGAAGAAAAAGACTGCAATCCCCTGTCATATCTCATTTTTTTTTCTCTACAGCAGCACACTAACAGAAATAATCAAGGACAATAAATTAAGTACACTTAATAACCGAACTAACTACTTAGTAGGGTTGGTGTCAAGAGACTCCCTAGATCAGTAATAACCCACTGTTCTTAGTGAGGCTGGAAAGAAACGGCAATTCAATGAAGGTACACTCAGAGCTGATTGCAAGTCATTACAACCACCACGGGGAGAGCCCAGTGGAAGGAGCTTAATGGGTGTGGGAGAAGAACACTTAGAAGCCCCCCACCCATCCAAACCTACATACACACATGTTGAGCCTAACGCTCGTTCACTGAAGATACAGTATCGGTGTTTCCTTTCACTCTCTCTTCAGTCTACATCCTAACAGACAATCAGAGGTAGTGGTGCATTTACATCCCACGTCTGCACGTTCCATGATTTCGTTTTATGATTACTCCATCACGGCAGAGCTTGTTTAAGACCCCATTAGAATCAAAGGGGCGACAATCTTCATAATCAAGCTTAATTTATTAAAACATCAGCCAGTGCCATTAACATTAACAGGGTGAGACAGGGAAGCTCCAATAAAGGAGAAGAGACTACTTCATAGAGATCACCAAGCCAAATGCAAACATATGTTTGTGGTTTGGAGCATTTTGGAGCATTTTATTATTGCCATATCACAAAAAGAGTTCTTGCACTAATTTCAACTTGAAAATATTGTGGGGGATGGGGGTGGGGGGGTTAAGTTTGTATCTAATCAAAAGCTTATGATTTCATTAATTTAAAAAAAATCATCAATTAATTATTTAATCAATTAACATTTCAACATTTGTTTAATATCTGAAATTCCTGGACTGCTCAGACCTGAACTGTAGAATACAACACTGAACAGACATTCATGAAATACAGATAAAGATGGATGAAATCTTTATTATCTTCTATAATTTTTTCTATATCTTCAAAATGTTTTAGAAAATTGAGCACAAACGGGGCACCTAAAAGATTTTTTTTTTCTAATATAAATCCAAAGCTTAAAGACAACCTGAGAGAAACTTTAGGCACTTTTGGTCAAGGCTCAGAACAGAGGACCCAAAATTCGAAGCAAACAGACAGGCATGCTTCTCAAAAAGAGTACTTTTAGAGATGTTGCATCTTCAATTCAGCACCCAGGGCCGGATCTCTGCAGAGGGAAAATTCAGGTTAGTGTCCAAAAAAATCTGACAGAGAATAATTACGAACACATGAGTAACTAACCTGATCTTAGAGTTCAGTCTGTGCCCAAAGGAAGGATTGGAATCCAGCTGAATGACTACCAACATCATGTGATGAACACAGCTCAGAGAGTTCCAGGAGCTCAAGCCTTGAAGTCTGTAGAACTGGATAACAAGCAGATCCAGCAGACGAAGAAAGGCAGGACTTTACGGAAGACAAAGCCAAACTGATGTAAAAGAGGTTCACAGGAGTCAGGGCTAGAAGGTCAGATATCCATAGGGGTACCTAAGGGAAATCCAGGTTGAAATTAGGAGTCAGATCCAGGTTCAGTCAATAGGCATAATCCAGCAGGAATCTGAAGACAGGTCAGGCAAAAAGGTTTGAACAGGTACAGCCAGGCTCAATTGTCCGAAGATAAAAACGGGTCAGGATCAGGCAATTTAGAACACAAACAGGTATGCTAGAGAACTCTCGCCGAAGGCTCAAATAATCCGGCACTGATGACTGGAAGCAAGCAGTTTAAATAGAGACTAGAGCAGGTGACAAAGATGAATGGTGATGAGAAACTGGGCAGAGCTAGACAGGTGAAGGGAATGGACCATTAAGCCATTCATCAGTGCCAAGATCATGACACTTTTTGGAATTTCATGGGAAAACTGCAACATGACAGCTGCTGTAACTGGTTTTCAATCATCCTCTAATTTGCTTTTCCACAATAACTGCAAAATAACCTATTTTGAGAGTTGGAATAGAATAAATAGTTTCACATTTAAACACAACAAAATCTTCGCCTCTATTTAACTACATTAGGTACATTTTAAGCAATGATAAATGATAGAAAGGTAATCTTGCTACATCAAGCAGAAGTAAAACAAAAGTATATATCATTTTTTTTTATTTAGCAATGATTTACAATGCATGTCAAACACACTCTACAGGGTTGATTCAGTGAAATTATACGGAGTGACTGATTAGAAGTCTTCTAAGTTCATCAATATGATCACTGCAGAAATCACTTCTCCTGAATAAGCATGTGTTAGCAGTGTGTTGTACGCATCGTATCACTGAATCAGTATCTCAAATGGAACATGTATGTATCAACAGAGGAAAGGACACATTTCTGAAAGTTTTGCATTGTTTTACACAGATAAACCTGCAACCATCCATCCATCAATTAGTCGGTTCATTCATCATCCATATTCTTCAACTAGTTTCTCAGGGTCTTTAATGTCTCCTAAACTTGCAAAAGTTATTATAATTTTCTTGCAAGTACAAGCAACATTAATCATCGAATAATAGTATTAAAAAAATTCAAGCGAGAACTTTTTTTCTTTTTCCTGATTGCCTTTTTAGAAAAAAGGAAAAAAATATCTCTTAGATTTTAACTTGCGCTTCTGATTTATTTATTTACATCCCTGTTCATTCAAATACAATAAAGAGTGAGACAAAAAACTTAAGAGGACACAAGAGCCAAACACTTAAAATATATGTGAGAATATAAAGAACTTTCTGTTGGCTCACAGCAGAGCAAAATCTTGTAGGAGAGTGCTGATGTATTGAAGCAGTATTGAGGTCCATCCTACAACACACATTCCAAGCCACCAGAATTGACTAAAGGGCTGGCAATACTCCCGCAGCAGTGTGTCACAGTGAACTTGTCACAGGTATGACACAGACATTTTTGATTTATGCTCAATATTGAAGTGTGGTTGACCAAACAGAGGCCTCCTGTCTGTGGCACTGTCTGCAGTCACCTATAATTTGGGAGAGTTGGAGCAGAGTGTCTGCGGAGGGGGTTGGGATGTCTCTGCGTTCACCATGACACCTACGCAGATGACCTAGTATAAATCAGCTTTAAGACTCCTGGATAGGAGTTAGAATGTCTTAAAAAATGGAGCGAGACTCCGGTCGCCTTCCAATTTAAGCCTGTTTGTGGTTTCCATCACCCAGATGACTACAACTTTTACAGACGCACAATGCTGAGGCTGCTGGTGAAGATTCTCCGTCATCTAGGTCTTAGTCATTCCAAAAAAAAAGTTAGAAAAACAAGCCACTGGACTTTGTTTTACAAAATTAAAGACGGCTAAATGAGCATTTTTTCTAAGCCAAAACAAAGGTTTGTTGAGCTAATCTTTAAAGCTTGGAACTCAATGCTAATTTCAGACATTTTGAATTGAAAAAGCTCCCAGGAAGGGAAGTAAATTGTCTCCTAGAGCTTTGGTTAGTTTAGGGCAGTTTCATCTTGACCCTACTGTGCAGATAGCTTATTCACTTCCTGAGAATGTAGCCAACATGTATACTTGAATTTGAAGGTCTGAAGGACCCAGATCTATGTCTGGCTAGACCAAACTATTTAAAAAAAGACTAACTTACAGTTAAATCATGACCTAATAAGATGAGTTATTTTATTCTTCCTTACAGTCAGGGGTGCCTCTATACTATTTTCGACATTAGTTAATTGTCACTTAAAAACAGGAAATTGTATTTACTCAGGACATGTTTTTATTCATACAAAAATGTGTTTAATATGAAATAATTACATGTTTTAAACAATTTTAGACATATCTGACATTACAGCTGTTCAATCATATAGCCTCGGTTTTTCTGAGACGTAGCACTTTATACTCACTCAGTAGGCTTCACCACTCTTCCCACAAAGTAAAGCTCCTTATGTGTATTGATGTGCACCATTGACAAGTCAATTCAATTTACCTTAGGAAAATGGCTAGTGTTTTTATTAGGCTAATTAGCCAGCGCCCTGTGGGAGCTGTGGGATGAGCAAGATAAGAGATGAAAGCAAAGCTCTCCTGTAATGTCTGTCAGGATATGTACACTCAGAGAATGGTAGATAGTGGGGAGAAATCATTCATGGACTCTCATTATAAATAGTACAAATTATTTTATGTTGAAAGAATAACTGCAGTAATTTCATTCTTCATTGGCTTTAATTTTTATTCATTTAAGAGATTTGTGAGTACGAGTTTTACTGTCAATTTGATGTGTTCTTGTAGTGACATAAACATCATATTTGGGTTTTTGTGCATAAAGGTGCTTCTATAGCACCAGTTATTCAACATGACTATGTGTTTGCGTTTGTTTGTGTACGGGTCAGTTATTCCTGAATATATCGATTAAATCTTATTTTCTGGAAATAAAGTTCAGATATCATGGTTTTTTCCATCCTGTTTGCACAAGCTTTGGTTTTTTGAGGTTGAAGTTTTAAAGCATCCAACTACTGCCAGTTCACAACATATGTCAACTCAGTTCAATTCATCACTGAATTCAAACAGATCCTGTAGTCAGATGGGTTCAAAGTTTTCAAAGGAAAACCAGCTGATGGCATTAACTCATTGACTTGAACTCCCTTTAACAGGGAGGAGCAGAATCAGGCTAATTGTGAGCGGCGATCAGAATAGAAGTGGACATACAGAGAGAAGCAGATATACAAAAGCTAACTGCTAACTAGTTCTACTGGTGCCCCCATCCAGGAAAGACACAGCCAGGCAGACAAGCTATGAGCCATGAAAAAGAGCATAAACAATCACACTAAGAAGACAGGACTACACTGAAAAACAGGTCAAGCTCCAACTTCTATAAACAAAGGTGTTGATTACAGCAGCACAGCTGATATTCCTCAAAAAGCAAGCAAAAAATTCCAAAAAGATCTGGGTTTGTTCTGATTGATGGTCTATAGCTTTACATATTTATCTGGGTGTGAGGACTGTCAGAATTCAATGCCTTCTGTAGTACTTCTAAAATATTACTTCAAAGAACAAGACATCACAAAACACTTTCAGCAACAAATGAGAAACTACATTTCTGTTGTTTCTTTTACTGTATCAAAAATGCCCTAATGATACAATAACCTTTAAATCTCAGAAAGGTGTTTCGCCATTGCCCCTAACATTGCAAATTATATGAGTGAGGTCACCAAACCCCTCAATAAAGGACTAGGAAATTTAAAACAGGCTTTCAGAATCTTCTCTTTACCGTACAGAAAAATAAATCACATGTGGAACTTTCTGAACTTTATCAATATCTAAAGACCAATGTTTGGGGCTAAACTGCAGACAAACCAGTAAATGGAGAACCATGACCCAGTACTAATGTCTTTCTTTACTATATCTAACAGGAGCAATATGCACATGTATAATATGTCTCAGCAGTCAGCAGATCCTGCAATTTTTATTAAACAATATATAAACATTCATAAGCTTGGACTTGTTCACAGTCCTCTTTATTTCTTTTATGATCTTGGCACTGATGACTGGATCTTTAGTATCATACCTTCCACCTGCTTAGCTCCGCCCAGTTTTCATCTGCCCTCATCTGATCCACCTGTTCCAGCTATTTATACTGCCTGTTTTCCAGCCATCAGTGCCAGGTTATTCAAGCCTAGTGTGAGAATTATGTAGCGTACCCTGTAATGTTGCTAAACTGCCTAATCCTGACCTGTTTCTGCTTTTGGATTCCTGAGTTTTGGGTTGCCCCAGTTCTGGTCTGTTTCTGTCCAGACTGCTGTTTGAACTGCGTCTGTTAGTACCTTGGATCTGTCCCCGGACCCCGGCCTGGATTATCCCTTTCATACCTCTGCAACTTTCTGATCTTCTGGTATGGACCCCTGCTTCGTCACCTACTCTGGATTTCTCTGCTCTTCAGCATATGCTGGCTTCCGCTTTTCTGCTTGGCCCCTCAAAACTCTCTAGGTGGCTCCGACCGAATATTGTGGAGACTGTGATATGTTGTTATATCTGACACCAGCTGGTCCCAAGTAACAAGCTTTTTTTTTCTTTTTTTAACCAAACCAGTTCTGTTTGCCTGAATTCTGGGTCAATTAGTTTGAGCCCTGAAAATGTTTTTATCCACAAATTCCTACTTGGCCTGAATGAGGCTTGCCAAACCCCAATACCAAGATTAGCCTGTTTCTCTGAATTTGAGCTACTCACGTTCTGGCCTATGGGCTTGTTCTTAAACTTTCTAAACACAGTACAAACATAGTCAATATGTGGCACCGAGAGGTGCGATCATCCAAAAAAAAAAACTAAAAAAAGGACTGCGGTGATTGTGAGCAGAGCCCTAAAACCTTTTATTAGTTTAAGAGTTCAATGATTGATTTTTTTCTTCTTTTTTAAAAAGAGTTCACTTAAAAGAAGTTCGTTAAAAATAAGCTAAAAGGTAAAAAAGATTTTAAAAAATGCAGGGTAGTCAGGAACAGCAGAGTCAGTGGACAGTCTGTAAAAAAGGGGTGTACTCTTAGCTGGCGCGAATGGAGCATGCAGACCTCT